AGCATTTAATTTTGTTTTTATATTAATATAATTTCCATAAGTTTTATCTAAATCGCGATAAGAGATGAGTATTTTTTGGGCTCATATTAGGAAATGTTTTGTGATTTATTAAAAAGCATATAAATTAAGATTTGAATCTAATTTTAAAAACATTACCTTAAATATAATGGCAAATAATTTGTCACAAATGATAAGCGCTAACATTGTGTTCATGTATTCATCAATAGAGTATGTGTTCAGTAATTATATAAGTGTTTAGTTTAATACTAAACCAGAAAATAAAGAAAGAGATAAAACAAAAGCCAATCCTATTATTCAAAGTAAAATATATTGATATATAAGACAACAAAAAGCAATGCACTGTTGGCTCTCTTCAACCATCTTTTCAGGCCATCTATCACTTTAACCATCGGTTTATTCTCAGACCTTATGGTCAAAAATCTATCAATTAATTAAGGAAATACTATTTGTATTGAATTGATAACCAAATAAATTGAATATACAGTATATATAGAGTTGATATATCCGTATATAAAGCAAACTATCGATCGATAAGCTCTCAAAATATCCATTCATCCCTTGGATGGCATCGCGAAGAACCTAAACGGTTGGCCACCAAAACGCATGTCTAATCCATACCACTCTTTGTCGCTGCCATTGCTTACAACCAAACCATACATACAATGTCTGAATATAAACACATATATACAGAATACAAGAATATTCTGCAGACAAATTTGGCTCATTTTTTCGTGTTTTAAGGCAAACACTTTGAATGATAAAAGCGACAGAATATCCAACAGTTTGGGTGAGAATTACAGAGATATTTATTGAGAGAAAAATAATTACAAACCAAACCATTGTTTCGCTAATTCACACGTCGTTTTGCTTCTCTCACAGCAAATATAAAAATTATAATTACTTTTGGTTTTGGTTGTTGTTATTGTCGTTATTTCACTGTATGTTATATACTGTTAGTATTGATACGAAAAATATATGTAACACTATTTCGCCAACAGTTTAATTAAAGGAATTGACAAGAAATCTATTCTCAGTTATTATTGCTTTCTATACAACCGTTTATATCGACCGAAATAATGGTAACGATTGTCTTTGCTTTGTATTATACTTTGTATTTCATTATTTCTTTATTTAATTGTATTTACATTTAATGAGAATTTAATTTATTATTTTACAGAATATTTAAATATTCAATAGAAAATATCTTATTATTTATTATGCCATTGATTTACTAAATGTTTAAACAATTTAATACATGATATTTAGTACGGATTTGTTAACCACGCGTTGGAACTGCTGGTCATCCGAAACTTCGGCGACAAAATATGGGAACAAATCAAGTATTAAACAAATGGCTTATTATATAATTGGATGAAATAAAATACAAAACACATTGATTTTGTTGTGTATTAAATAACATTAATGTCTATTTGTATTTGAATAGGAAAGAGGCCGAAGTGGAAATGGAGGGCGCATTCCTCGTCCGACTTATATATGACGATGAAATCACATATAATTTGGTCGAAGCGGCCGAAAGAGTATTAAGTAATTGTCATATATCTTTTTGTTTGAAATATTTATAATTTTACACATATTAATACATGTAAATTATACACGATATTAGCTGTTAATATACATAACCTAAACATAAACACAATTGAAAATTGAACGCTAATTTAATTCATCACGTTTTCATACGGAATTCAAATTACAATTTATTTCTCGTAAATTTATATATGATTTATGTCTCGAAAAAGTATTTTTATTGCATAAAATTCCAGTCATTTATTACATTATTTCCATACATGAAAAACAAAACAGATATACACTAAAAGCCACATCAAAAAACATGATAATTACTTCAGACCTAATGCCGCGATTAATCTACTGTCTGACCAGAAATCCCGGCCAACGCTATACTGGAGATGTTTGGCGGTATGTTCTTTGACTTTTGCCAGGAGTCGGGCTATGAGAGCATTTTGCAAGTGTTGGGCGCCTCTCCCCGCGATTTCCTGCAAAATCTGGACGCACTTCACGACCATTTGGCCACAATATACCCGGGAATGCGGGCGCCGTCCTTCAGGTGCACCGAAGACCCCCAGACCGGGACTCTTATACTACACTACTATAGCGAGAGGGAGGGACTCGAGCCCATTGTAATCGGTATTGTGAAGGTCAGTTTGTGGTTACATATTAATTATATACATGTTTTTATTGTTAATGTATAATTAATTGTGAATATTGTGAATATATTTGAATATCGGTGCCATTTATTTGAAATAAGCATATACAGTACACTGTTATCCCGTTATAAAATGTATTTTAACGATGTGCATTTTTAATTTTTTATATGCAATAAAACATGAAGTTCATTATTCATGTTTTGCATGTTATCTTGTTGTTGTTTTTGTGTTTAATTTTGTATTTTATTTCCCGTTTTGTTTGTCTTTATTTCATATTTTGTATTATGTTTTTTCTGTTAATAATAATATAATAAATTCAATAATAAACAACAAAAATCTTATGAAACACTTTAGCTAATGTTAAAACACTTATTACAAAAACGCATAACAAGTGTACAAAATTAAAACTACATAATCATAATAATAAGTATAATAAATGGCATCATATTATAAACCATTGGCTATAATGAAGTGTTCGCACAACACATGCATTAAACACATACGGGTTTTAATTTTAAAAACTAAATTAACTTACTTTACGATTAATTATTATAATCATTTCACATGCACCCATCTCTCTCTCTCTCTCTCTCTCTC